GCGCGTGTACGCAGTTTGAATCAAAAGCCCCTTTCTTCCCTGGAAACTCTTTTCCACCACCAGTCAGTGAGCAAATATCCTTTTCTTTTGTGAATAAATTCATTTGCATTTGTTCTAAGAGTTAGTGGGGAACCTGACTTAGTTGTGATGGTGTTTAATGCGGAAAAGGGAAGGAACAGGCCCAGACACCCACTTAGGCTGCGGCCGGGGAGCCTGTGCACTCAGCTCCTGTCATTGGCACAGGGGTACCCCAGCACCAGGCAGCCTGCAGGTCTGTGCAGGTAGCTGATTGGAACCAGTGGACCCTGACAGAGAGGCCCCAAAACTGCCAAAAGAGAATTTTGTTTTCTGAATTTGGTGCAATTTCTTTGGGTTTAGACTATATTCTTTACTAGGCATGACTGAGAACTGAGACTTTTTTTTTTTTCAATTTGTTTCAGTCTAATAATCATTAGTTATCATGGTTATCTAGGGAAACATATTCTAAGTTTGTCTCCCCAAATCATGGCCCTTCGTATTCTGAAATTGCAAGTTCTTGTGTGGAGCCCGACGGCCTAGCCTTTAACCCTGTCTGATGCTTCTCATCCAGAAATGCTGGGTGGAGTGAGCGTTGCCCGTGGCAGGAGAACATCTCCGTAGGAGGGGGGAAGCCTGTGTTACAAGCTGGCCTGAGAGGACCCAGGTTTGGGTTTGCCCTTTTAGTCCCGGGAAAAAACTAAAACGAGGAAAGGGACAGAAAGATGGGACAGTGGCCCCAAGTTGCAGTTTGTTTTTTAAAGCCAAATCCTGTTTCTTAAGGAACAGAAAGAAGCCCACTCCCCCCAGTCTGGGCCTTCCCCTCAATCTGAGAGTTCATGTTTTTCAGAAAAGCTTGAAGTTGAAGAACGGCCCCAACGACGTGGTTTTCAGTGTCACCACCCAGTATCAGGGCACCTGCCGCTGCGAAGGCACCATCTATTTGTGGAACTGGGATGATAAAGTCATCATTTCTGACATCGACGGAACAATCACCAGGTAGGCGCCACTGAGTGGGGCCGTGGTAGCTCAGGGACTGGTATGGTTGGATCTTTGGTGCCATAGAGCTGCTCCTGTGGTTCCAGTTAGGGCCTGGTGATTCCCCAGGGTCCCGTCTCTGACCGTGGCTCCCGTGGGTGCCTCTGAGTGGACTTTTCACTTTGATTTCACAAGCCACAGCCTTGACATATGACCGGATTGGAGGTGCCCACCTGTGGGTTGGCTTACCCCCTCTGAGCATTTCCATTGGATTA